AACACATGTAAAGATGAGGTAATGCAATGTGTACGATATGTGCAAAAGTAAGTTTCAAAAGAGCGATGAAACCCAGCCGAAGCTCCTTAACGCCGAGGTAGAAACGGAGGTCTAAATTTAAGAAACTCCGAGACAATAAAGCTTCTGTTGAGTTTCGACATGGTTAAGCCAACTTCGGGGTGCTAAACATCCTGCCACTTTGAGCATATTCTCTAATGCTTTGGTTTTCATTTTTAGGGTGTTTTTTAATCAGCATTAATTGCTATTGCCTAAAATGACATAGTGCTTACTTTTCAGGACAATTACGTCTTAAGTGCCAATGAGCATGGCCTGTATAGATCCAAACGATTGCAGCAGCATATATTATTCTCTTAACGCAAACTAGCCGGCGTTCCATTTTGGATTGAGAAGCAATTTAGGATACAAATCCTAGAGAAAATCAGACCATGTAACAGCCGATGGGCAAATGGATACACCTCGTCTTAGCCCATGCTTTGTTTGGATCGTACTAAGTGATTATGAAATTAATTCATTACCTGTGGACGGTTTTAGAATAAAAAACTCTCAAAATATCAATAAGGTATAACATTTTGTAGGCAGTGGGAGTTTGGAATAAGAAGCCCACCATAATTATTTATTGCACCTCTCAAGCGTCTGTAGTTTATTGGCTTTATATGTCAAGAATATCATTTAAAAGGTCATGGGCAGCTGGCTTCCACATTTGTTTGAGATCGCAAATGCCAATACGGCAGAAATACTCCATTATGGATACAAACGACTAATTGTTGCAATATTCGACCTTCTTGATTAATCTTCTTTTTCCATTGAAGAAGTTTATTCGAGCTCAATAAAAATGCTTGTTGTCAGAAAATGTTGAACATTGTTAGTAGACATAAACAATTGCAACTATTCTAAATGCTTTTTTTGAACTCTCAACTTGTCTAAATGTTGATGATACAGCCCAGGCGTGTGTGCTTGAGTATGTTTCTAGTAATTCCCTTTCTTACAACTCCAATAGTAACACAGAATATTGTTCTAGAGGTGATCGAGGTTCACATATGCTTAAACGCCATGGGTAAATTGAATAAGCGAGCTGATCGTTCTAGAGGCCTGGTGCTTAGTGAGCCGCTGTGGTTGGACGCCAAACTTCAGCTTGTTAATGCGTCTGATCATGAGAGTACTATCCTCCATTTTCAATGGTTTATGGTTGCTGTTAGGGTTAGTAACTGGCCCGGTAGTTAGTGTTGATCTCAAATAAAAGACCTTTATTTCTGTATCTTGCTACTACACAAATTGTTTAAATCAATTCGTCAAGTAGTTCGTTTATCACTGTCATTTCCGGAGCGCCATTTGTGGATAAAGTACCTTTGTGTAAACCCACTAATCATAACTCTTTAGAAAAACCAAATTTTTTTATAGTAATCAACTTTTAACTATTTACAGGAGCAAAACTTGGCGAATTTTATTCTTTTAAAAGCATTACTTCTGGCACATCCCTTGTAATAAGCTATACTAGAACACGATATAATATAATACAAAATAATTCCGTCTATTTGTTTTTGGCACATTATTGGAATTGAATCAGCTTTATTTCAGGACTATATATTTACCCTATTTAGATTAAGGTGATGAAAGACTCATAGTTTGATTTTCCCATAATGGTATAAGTAGACTTAAAAAGTTTTCTTATACAGGGGGTGTCGACCTAGGAGAGGCCAAAACTGCAGTCCATCCTGTAAGAGACTACTTGTTCGAATAGCAAGGCTATGTGAAATTCCACGTAAACGTAAGTTTTACTAATATCAATGAGTAAACATTGAGTTACCAATCTTTTATTACCTTAAATAAAATATGGTGAATACATCTCATATATATAATCTAGTGATAGTTTTAAAAACCTTTTTATAAAACAAAAAATAATTTTCTTTTATGTTGCTTCTTCTCTATGCTTACTATGTCCAAATGTCCTAAACTACTTCATTCCCAGCTCTTTCACGAAACTCTTATTTGCTATCCTTGATTTCTGGATGTTAATTGAATAAATCGAACTTTCAATTATATAAAAAACTATATTATTAGCTATGTATCTGCCTAAATACAATAGATTAGTATAAAG